TGTTTTCTTTTCGTCCTACATTCTGAAGGAGTAAGCAGGTCTCTTCCTGGTTTGATGCAATATTCCTGAAACATTCCATGAGCCTGTTGATAATTTATGCAGGATTAAAGTCACTGTGCTCAAAGTAATTCTTGTTCTTTGCCTTCCAAATATTCCAGCAAATTATTGCCCACTGTTCAATCAACAATGGAGTACCCATTTGTTTTTCAATATCAATTAGAAATCTCCACCACTCCACAAAATTATGCAACCTCAATTGCCCGAGGATAAAACCCAAGGTTGAGCCAAACCATATTGGTTTGACATGAGGGTAATAAAGAAGAGCATGCATTAAGGATTCATCAAGAAGCTGACAGTTTTGATAGAGGGTATTGTTCACTACCCCTTGGTAAATAAATTATCCAAAGTGGGCAATTTGTTAAGGATGGCTCTCCATAAGAAAACCTTAATTTTGGGGGGTAATTTAAGTTTCCAAAGGTACTTCCATTCTGCAAAAGAGATGAGAGAATGAGTTTCCATAAAATCTGATACGTGAATATGTTTATATGCATGATAGTAGGCGCTTTTAATAGTGAGTTGTCCATATTTGCCATAGTGTCAGATAAGTGAATCATACTTGGGTGCTGTAGGTATTTTCATTATTTCACTACACTCCTCATTTGTGAAGCAATTACTTAGCTTATGAACATCCCAATTTCCCCCTTCATCAAGTAAATCACAAACATGGGACTATAAAGATTTCAGCTTGGGGAGCAGAAAGTACCTTGAATTGTGGTAAAGTTGGAACCCATGCATCTTCATAGATCAGAATTTCTCTCCCATCACCTACATTCCATAGTATCCCAAGTTGAAGAATTTCTCTGCCTTTTAAAATGCTTGTCTATGCCGAGGATGGATGACTTCCTTTCCTAGCAGAGAGGAAAGATGTTTCTTTGAAATATAAGCTTTTGAGAATACGAACCCATAGTGATTGCGGATTTTACAGAAGCCTCTAAGCTTGTTTAGATAGCATAGCTAAGTTGAAGCAGGGTAAATCCTTAAAATCCATTCCCCAAGAAAATTTACTTTGAGTCATCATCTGCCAATTGACCCAACATATTTTTCCTTTCTTCTTGTTGTTGCCCCCACCAAAATCCCAAATTAGTTTATTGATCTCCTTGCGAATACATATTGGAAATAAGAAGCATGACATTGTGTAGATTGGAATTGACATAGCTACTGCCTTAATAAGGATTTCTCAACCAACTTAGGATAATAAGGCCACTTTCCATTAATTCAGCTTTCTATGAATTTTTTCAACAAAGTATTTCAGGCTGGATTTTTTAGATTTCCCCCAAGAGGTTGGTAATCCAAGATATTTGGATATAGCAGAATCATGATTAAGACCAAGCTGATTATAGATTGAGGTTCATAAATCTCTATTAGTATTCGGGCTAAGAGCATGATTGAATGATAGAATTTATCACAGTCCTTGTCTTCCTGTATATCTACCCACGTAACTAATTTTAACTACTTTTTTGTGCAGTAATGTTAAATAATATTTTTATAAATAAGGAAAAAAATGTTTTATATGTTGTTTTTTTTAAAAAAAAAATTTTGGGTGACCCATCTAAAAAATTCAACATCTAATTAATATTTTTAAAAATTAATTAGTTATTTATGGTTATATATATAGGTTAAATACCCTTTTTGGTCCCTCTACTATAGGAAAAAGCTCCTTTTTGATCCCT